TCCCTACTCCCACTACCCTCTCCACAGTCCTGGCAAGAGCCAGGCTAGGGCGGTGACCCCTGCAGCCACAATGCACGCGGGGCCTGCAGTGCTCGCCACAGCACTGTTGTACAGGTCGCAGACGCAGCAGTCCCTGTGGGTCATATAAGTCATGTCTCCCACCACCTCTGTTTCCACTCGACTGCAATGATGGGCTGCCACGCAGGCTGCATGGTGATGAATCAAGGTCACTGAGGCTGAGAGAGAGAATGAGATTGGGCTGTTGGATTCCTGGCTTGAGGACTTGCCTTCTGGGGCAGAGCAGATGTGATTCCAAGGAGCCCAAAGCGATCCTCTGCCCCCTCAAAAAACACCTCCCTGAAACCAAGTGAATCCCTGATGGGATGCACTGAAAGGAACCAACATCACTTCTTGCCAAAAACTCACGACCTCAGTCTAATCATGAGAAAATATCAGGTAAATCCAAATTGCAGGACGTTCTATAAAATAACTCATCAGGACTCTTCAAAAATGTCAAGATCATGGAATCAAAGGAAGACTCAGAACTGTCCCAGAGGGGGGATGACTAAGAAGACAGGAGAGCTAAAGGCAATGTAGGATCCTGGTGTGGGTCCTGGATCAGAAAAAGGACATCAGTGGGACAACTGGCTAAATTGAGTAAGGTCTGTAGGTTAGTTAGTTGTACTGTACCGGTGTTATTATCTGATTTTGCTAATTGTACTATGGTTATATAAGACGTTAACATTAGAGGAAACTGGGTGAGGCTATACAGTACTGATCTGTACTATTTTTCTAATAAAATTAACTTTTCTGTCAACCTAAAATTATTTAGAAGCAAAAAAATTAGAATATACACACACACATACCTCCCTGGTGCTTAGCTGATGCCTGCAAGTTGAAGTTTGGCTGAATGTTTTGGTCCCTGCCTTCAAGGGAGCTTTTCAGCCATTTGAGTGAATGGGCCTGTGAGACTCTTTCTGGAGGGCAAAGAGGAGGGGGTGGGGCCACACAGGCAGCGGGCTTCCAGGGGCTCAGTGCCAGGAGCCAGAAGGGGCTACAGACCGCTCCACTCTGACAGCGGCACCATCTGCCCAGAGCCAGACTGAGCCTGGAAGGTTCTGGAAGCCAGAAGGACTGAAGCAGTAGGGGCTGGAGGCAGGGGGACAAACGGAGGACTCACGGTTTCCAGATGGCTTGGTCTGTCTCAGGTCTGGTTGGGGTTTGCCCTCCAGGAAGCCGCAGCGTTTGCCCTGGCCGCAAGTGGTCACGGTCTCTTTGCAGGAGCCGCTGGGGCCTCTACCGCAGTCATAGCACCGCTTGCGGTTTCCTGGCAGGAGAGAAGAGGTGCTGGAACTCGGGGGGGCGGGGCGGCTGACACCGGGCGACGGGCCTTTGTGACAGGCGCCTTGGCTGCCTCCTTACCCAAGGCAGCCCGCAGCAGGGCGCTGAGCGGGATCCCAGCAAACAGGGGGTTCATTGTGTCTGCCTGTGTCTGTAGCGCCTCTCCCTCCCGCCCACCCGCCTCCCTGGCCCCCGCTCTGCCAGCCTTTTATCCCCCTTGGGCTTTTTTTTTTTGGCTGCATTGGGTCTTCGTTGCTGCGCGCGGGCTTTCTCCAGTTGTGCTTGCCTTGGGCTTTATAGGGCAATAAAAAGGGAGGAAAGAGACTCCTCCAGCAGCCACCGGGGCCCCAGTGGGGACTGGGAGGGGCCCCCACAGGAGAAAGAGCTCTCAGCATCCTCTGGCATCCCCAAACTCTTCCATCTCAGGAACAATTCTAAAACGGTGGCCCCAGACCTCCTGCGGGTCCCTAAGGCCCTTTTAGAGGGTCCTTTTCCAACTACATATCTGTCCGATTTTCTTCAGATACTTCAATCAAAACAACAAATCCCAACAGGTTGAATGCAGAAGCAGATGTGAAAACCCAGCCATCTTCTATTTCTTCTATTAAGCCCAACATTAAATAGATTCCCCAAAGGGTAAAGCCATGCCACTCTTCTCACTGTACTGTTGGGAAAGGAATTATTTTTCACAAAACTATGCTTTGTTAACATGTAATAGGTTTATTGTTTTTTTATTTTTAAATGAACCTATTAAAATATTCTGTTTCTATTTCTCATATAGCAAATATTGATATAACTTACATAAGAAAAGCTCTTTGGGGTCTTCAGTAATTTTTGCGTGTAAAGAGGTCCTGAGATAAATGTTTTGAAAACTGCTGCTCAGTGGATACCTGTGTCTCCTCTGCCTCACCTCCACCTCACATCTCCCCCATCCTGTCTGCCTCTTACTCCCAGTACGTTCCGCCCTGATTCCCCAGGTGCAGCTCTTCTCCCCAGTCTCTTAAGCCCCCCCCACCCCCGTCTTCCAGACTCTACCACCCGTACTCCCCAAATCTTATCGTTGCCTTCCTTCCTGGTCTTTCTGACCCTCATCCCTGCACCAGTGGAAACACATCAGTCCCTCTGGCCGCACCCATGATTCTTTCCTCTAATGCAGTAAGGCTGGGAGAGATAATTATGGGGTAAGAATGTTGAGGCTTGGGGGGATCAAAGGAGTGGGAAGCTGGGTGGCGTCCTCCCTTACGCAGCTGCAGCTGGGCTCTGTGTGTGGGCCGGTGGGTGGGGGATTGTTGAGCCCACACTCAAACACCACTCGCCAACTCTGGGCCAGGGCTCAAGGTCAAGGAGAGTGACCTTGACAGACTTAAATGCACAGAAGGATAAAAGACAGAAACAAAAACAAGGAGATGAGAGAGCAAAGAACAGCTTGAGACGAGGGGAGGGAGGGAAAGGAGTAGGAGGGGAAGTGACAGACGCTGACAGACACCGTTCAGGAGCGACAGACACAGCTAAGAGTAACAGACCAACGCCTCGGGAATGGAGAACACCCTCAAGGCAATAGCAGGCTCTAGTAGGAGAAGGGGAGGATGTGAGAACTGTGAGGCCAGGGTCCCTGCTATGTCAGGCTGCCGAATCTGGTCCCCCACCCTCAGATTCACTCCCTAGGTGTGTTTGTTTACTGCTCCCTCCCTGTCTCACTCAGATGCTCCGTCTCTCCAACCCTAGGATCTCCGGTGCAGATCACATTCTCCCAGACTCCTGAGCCCCGGGTCCAGCCATGGGCACCTCCAGCATCTTCCTCTACCTTCTGTTCCTCGGTGGGGCACTGGATAAGGGTGGGCTGGGGAATCCTTGGGGGCTGGGCGCAGGGTGGGGTGGTGGTGCTGACAGGGGCTTGTGGAGGAGCCTGAGGTCTGGGGGTGGCGGGTGGCGGAGAGGGTGCTGAGAAATGCCAAGGAGGGAGTTGTAGGGGTTTTGGAAAGAAAAGCTACTGGGAATGGTCTCAGGACAGCCTGATGAGGTGGAACAAGAAAAATTTCCTTTCAAAGGCATTTGAGAATAACTGTCTCTTTCCTGTGGCATCTTTGACAAGCCTCTGTCTCCCCTGACCCTTATCTCACCTCCTGTTTCTTTGCTGGGCCCCTTGGTCAATGTTAATTCCTATTTTCTCACCTGACTTAGCACCATCTGCGTAACTTCTTCACTGGCACCCTCCCCGCCCCGGCCTGGCTTTTTGTGTCATCCTCTGTGTTCATCTCTGATTCTCTTGGCTTCTGTTCATGTCTGTGTGTCTCTCACACTCCCTGTACCCCTCGTGCCTCTGCGTTTCCTGTATCATCCCCCCTCCCTTCTCTGTGTCTCTTTTTCTCCTTCTGTCTGTTTTTCCCTCCACTTCACTGCTCCTCTCTCCCCACTTTGTGTATCACCTCTGTCTATGCATCCCGTTCCCAAATCTGGGCTCAGCCTCTCACCTGTCCTGTTTGCCTCTCCTCCCTGCCTGATCTCCACCGACCCCACAGGTCTCGCCACTTCCCCTGCCCGGAGACGGCTCCACTGTTACACCTGCGACTTCGCCAAACCCTGCTACCCTGTTCCTACCGAGTGTCAGGATGATGAAGTTTGTGGCATCAGTATTGGTACCTCAGGGAGGACTCCCTAGGCCTTCCCCACCGCCACCGTCCTGCCTTTCCTGTGGCCTCGTGGCCCTTGCCTCCTTCCTGCCCCTGCCTCAGCATCCCCTCTTTGTCCCATAGAACAATGAGGTCATCAAGCGGAAAGCCTGTCTCCCAAGGACCCAGCACTCTCTGCAGGGCCATGCCACCTACTGGTCACTCTCCTACACTCCTCGGCACCACTGCTGCGAGCAGGACCTGTGCGACGCAGCCACCACGCCACCACGCCGCATCGGCTCCGCAGCCTCCTCATCACCCCGCTCATCCTCGTGGCCAGCTTCACCTGGGGAGCCCACCTCTTCCACCAGCCTGCAACCCAAGACTCCTCCACTATCACCATGGCCCTGGAAACACCTGCACAGACACTTCTGAGATCTGCCCAAGAACCTGATCTTGTACAGAGACCTCACACCCCTTGGGCCCAGCACCTTCACGGACCCCTCCCCAAACCCGATTCCTACAGGCACTGCTCTAGCCCCTTCCTGCCCAGAGGCACCTACCTAGAGCCCAGCCTCATAAAGAACACCTGTTCTAAATCTCTGGTCTTTTCTAGATGTCTGTTGCTGATGCATTCTCTCAGCCCCAGCTCTCTGGCAAGGCAGGTGTTTGACGGAGCTGTGGGTCCCAGGCAAGGGGATCGAAGGGGCACCAGGTGTGATGAGGAAGAGGGTCCTGCTAGGAGAGATTAATTTGGTAGGTCAGGAAGGAGGGCTTGGGGAACTATGAAGGGCAAATATAATAAAAGTGCTATCTGGGGCGCAGTGGTTGAGAGTCCACCTGCTGGACTCTGGTTCCCTGGTGGCGCAGTGGTTGAGAGTCCGCCTGCTGGACTCTGGTTCCCTGGTGGCGCAATGGTTGAGAGTCCGCCTGCTGGACTCTGGTTCCCTGGTGGCGCAGTGGTTGAGAGTCTGCCTGCCGATGCAGGGGACATGGTTTCATGCCCCGGTCTGGGAAGATCCCACATGCCGTGGAGCAGCTGGGCCCGTGAGCCATGGCCGCTGAGCCTGCACGTCCGGAGCCTGTGCTCCGCAACGGGAGAGGCCACAGCAGTGAGAGGCCCGCATACCGCAAAAAAAAAAAGTGCTATCTGGGAGTTCAGTAACACTGCTCCGTGTGTGTGTGTGTGTGTGTGTGTGCATGCGCACACGCATGTGCTCTAACAGCAAACTACAGCTGCTTGGTGGGTTGGGCTGGGGTGCTGGCACGTGAACCACAACTTTCACTTCATCCTCCGTCTGTCATTGGTATCCTCCTTCTTGCCATTAACAGCTTAAGCCACTGCAGCGTGAAGGCTTTAGGTAAGACTTCTGAGAAAGCTTTTCTCCAGTGAAGCCCAAGCCTGAGTAGACACACAGAGGGGCCTCTGGTGGAGTGGTGAGGGTGTGGCCGGGAGGCCAGCTCATTTCTGCGTGAGACTAGGAGCTGGGAGCACCGGTGCCCTCCCCTGCTTCACCAGCCCAGACTTGTCCTGGTTCACTGACAGCCAAGCACGCAGGGCCCAATTACTCACCCCACCAGGGAATTCGCCCACCCAGCACAGTGGGTACTCCCTCTGCCCAGGGGCCCCCAGGATGTCAGGGTGGTAAGCTGCTCCCTGCTCCGGATGCCACAGTGGAGCGCCTAGGATAAGGGGGGGCCGTGGGGGTGGTGGCCAGGCACAGGTACCCGCATCCTGACTCAGTTCCCTTCACTTCCACCTGAGGAAGCCTGGGGTCTGATTAGAGGTGCTTCTCTCTCAAGTTCTTTTCTTTGTGAGGATGAGCCAGGGGTGGGGATCTGGCTTAACTGAGAGGCAAGTTGAGTCTTCTTTCCATTCTCTCTGTCCCTCAGTCCTCCCACTTTGTACATCTATTTGTGTTCGCTCTCTCTCCATCT